TACTTCTGCTTCTGCTTCTTGGAAGAAGCTAGAATTTTCTGCTTCTTCCCAAAAGCAGAAAAACTGCTTCTACTGTTGGCAAAAAGTACTTTTCTGTATCGGCCCAACAACTTAAATTTTTTAAAAAGTACTTTTTTTGGGGAAAAAAGTACTTTTGGCCTTCTCGAAGCTTGGCCAAACAGGCTCTTAATTATATTGGATCTCCGATACCGTAATTAACAATTCTGAGGTGGGTAATTTGGCGATACACAGAATTTGGCGATATCCTCTTTCAATACCAACCGACTGAATTCAACAGGGTAGCTAACAAAAAGTCTCTAAACTTAAACTAACAACCTATTAATTAATTAATTAATGCTTTTAGTACCCTAGCATCTGTGCTGTTTAAGAAGTCAAACTAAAATTAGATTTACTTATACTTTCTTGGTTCACTTTTACTCGTCCACTATCCTAAAAATTGATTCTTTACTTTTATTTGTCCACTTTCTAGGGATGGCAAATGGGGCGGGGCGGGGCAGGGCAAAACCTTAATGGGGCAGGGGAGGGCAGGGCAAAGTCTTAATGGGGCAGGGCAGGGCGGGACGGGTCAAAACACATTTTCAGAAAATAGTAAATGGGGCAGGGCAGGGGTAGGGCAGGATTTTAGCTCAAACTCACTTGTGTGTGCTTACTTCTCTTGCTATTTTAGCCTCAACAGATTTGGTGCCTCAAAATATTCTTGTCGTTTTGTTTTCTTTTTTAAATTAAAAACTTGTTTTGTTTGCTTGCTAACATTTGTTAACTAGTAGCATAATTGCAAATATAATAGTTTTATAAAATATCAAATTGTTTATTAACGATTCTACTTTATGCTAGCGAATAATGATAAAAATTTATACATTGGTTGGAGCAAGTAATTTACAGTTGTAGTATAACTCGTGAATTTGTTGCTATAAAGAAAGTCTTACGGGATAGGAGATACAACAACAGAGAACTTCATATTATGCGCACGCTTGATTATCCTAATATTGTTAAACTAAGACATTGCATAAAAAAAATGATGGTGTGCTTATTATTGTAGTGAAACTAATAAACGGATGTTGTATTTTTAAAAAAAATAGAGGAAATTAATGGAAGTGATGCTTCCTCATGCAATTTTACAGTTCACTAACTTAAGAAGAAGTATGATAACTAAAGGAAACTAACCGTTCCAGAAGTAATTTAAACTATTAGCTATTTATTTGGAGTGGAACATTAATATAAGGAAAAATTTAGTCTTTGATAAATTATATAATATTAATAAAATATTTACATTTATTCAATCAATATGCACAAACAAGTTTTATTGACATATCAATTTTAAATATTTAAATAGAAAGTTGGAAAGATAAAAGAAATTAAAAGCATACTGCAAAATAAAAAATAAAGAGAAAAAAATAAAAAAAAATAGTCTAAACGGGGCAGGGCTTAATAGGGCGGGGCGGGGCGGGGCAAGGCAGGGCAAAATTCTGACAAAAGGCTAAACGGGACAGGGCAGGGCGGGTCAAAATTTTAACGGGTCAAGGCTTGCCCTGCCCCGCCCTACCCTGCCCCGCCCCATTTGCCATCCCTATTTCTCAGGGAAATGCATATCTTTCTCTCTAAGGGAAATACAAAGAAATCAACATACAAATTTATAATTATTTCTATATTATTCCTATCTTACAGGGATGTAATGCAAGTTTACATGAAATAAAAAGATTGATAATATTTGTCAAAAGTTCAATAAATGTCGAAAAATACACGAATTTACAACTGTATTTGGTTAAAAGGAAGGCTTATGGTGATATCTATCCATTAGAATGGACCAATAAAATTAGTCGGGTGTGCGTCAGCTTCGTAAAGGTGATAAAATTTTGTATTTTAGACTTATTGCCTGAATATATTTAATTTTTATTGTAATCTGATTATTGGTCAGTTTTCCGAAAGCATGAACAGTTTCGATAATTTTACTTTGACCTATGTATCATCGTGGCTATTTTCCTTTTTTTTTCACTTTATAGGTCTTGTTGTGATATGATAGACTTATGGTTTAGCTTTTGAAAATTTATATATCAAAAAGTACCTTAGCGTTGGAGCTTCAAACTTGTATGCTTAGACTATCTTTCCAAGCAAAATTAAACATATTTTTAGTTTTTGCAAAACTCAATTTAATTATTTCTAATATTCGGGTACTATAAAGTATTTCCTGAATAAAGCAATAATATCTTGCGATAAATTAACTAGTTATGATATAGCCTAATTTATGTTAATTTATATAATTGAGTATGGAATTAAGAATTATTTTTGAACTTGTGATATAAATGAGATATATATATTTTATACGACTATAAATTATTACGTAAAGATAAATTATTTTCAAATATAAGAAAATATAAGTTCTCATGATTGAAACGTGGGATATGAAAGAAGCGTGCCGACACGAGTGATGGATAATGTAGTTGCGTGCGAGAACAAGATATCAAATCAATTAAGAAAAATCCAACGCATCACCTAAATACAGATATGGCACACACTTCAATGACATTATTCCATCAACACCGCAATCTTCCCTTTCTTCCTATACGGATGTACACTAGGACGAGTTACTTACTATACAATTCGCACATACACTTTTAGAGTACAATCAAGAATATGGAGAAATCATCACAGGAAAATCTGATACTGGTGAATCGGGAATCCGACGGGGTTGCTTGGGTCACAATAAACCGACCCAAGTCCCTAAATTCCCTGACTAAGTCAATGATGGTTGATCTTGCTCGAATTTTCAAGTCCTTGGACGCGGATGATTCTGTTCGGGTCATTATACTCACCGGATCGGGTCGATCGTTCTGCTCGGGCGTTGACCTGACGGCTGCGGAGGACGTGTTTAAGGGTGACGTGAAGGATGTGGAGACTGATCCGGTGGCCCAAATGGAACGCTGTAGGAAGCCCATCATTGGGGCTATTGCGGGATTTGCCGTGACTGCTGGTTTTGAGATTTCTCTTGCTTGTGATTTGTTGGTTGCCTCTAATGATGCTAAATTCTTGGACACTCATGCTAGGTTTGTCTTATTTTTCTTTTGCTCTTGCTATATTGATAGTAATATGGAAAAAAGAATGGTTTTTTTCTTTTCTTGTAAATTTACTCATTTGGGCGGTTCTGTTTATGATATTACTCTGTTGATGAAGAAACATATGATCAATTTTAGGATATATTTGGATAATGGAACTGTCGAAGCTGGATGGCGGTGATTTTTATGATGTGAGCTTTATTACCTAAGTCATGCTATATTGGAGAAATTGAGACTGGATTTAGCTTGATTCTTATTTAGTAAGTTATGACTAGGCTGAATGAATTCTCCCCCATCCTGAGCATCTCAATTCTCAGGTTTCAATTCAACTAGTTGAACCTTCCCATTAAAATTTTGGAAATTAAACAAGTTGGCTTTTGATTCATAGCTTGATTAGTGTCTTATGAAGCTTAGATTACACCAGATAGGAGTTGGTTTTCCTGCAAAATTGTGCTTACAATTGTATCTTAAGTAGTACTTCTGTATTAACAGTTAGCACCAAACCAAACTATTTAGCTTTACTGCTTTTCGTTCTTGAACCGAGGGTCTTTCGGAAACCGTCTCTCTACTCTCCGGGGTAGGGGTAAGGTCTGGGTACACTCTACCCTCCCCAGACCCCACTTGTGGGAACTCACTGGGTGGTTGTTCTTGTTGTTGTTGTTGCTTTTCGTTCTTGAACCTGATTTTTAAAGTATTGACTGTGCTTCAGTTTCATAGTTGATTTTAAGTTTACTTACAGAGTAGTTTAAGTTTTAAGCTTATTGTTTATGTGATCTAAAATGAAATCTCTGCATTTGACCAATCATTAGTCACCTGGGGACTTTAGCCCCATGTAAGCCGCTTTAAAAATGAGACGAAGTCCTTAGCTGTATAAATCCTAAGCTGAAAATTCTATTGAATCCAGAGAGTTCCCGTTACAAGTTAATTGAGGCTATCAACCCCTTGAAAAACCTGATCTACCTAAAGTTATAAGTGGTCATGGTATTTTCAGTTCTTCTACTTGAGTCCTAAGCTACTTAAACACTTGGACCCAATCTATATACAAGTTCTTTGATATTAATGTTAAACTTCATATGTGTTTCTAAATGATTTTCTGACAAGAGTGTCTTTGCTTTTGTGTTGCAGGTTTGGGATATTTCCTTCTTGGGGGCTATCTCAGAAACTCTCTCGTGTTATTGGACCCAGCCGAGCTCGTGAAGCATCTTTAACTGCAATGCCTATCAGCGCAGAACAAGCTGAGAGATGGGGTTTGGTAAATTATGTTGTAGACAGAAGTGAACTTTTGAAGAAAGCTAGGCAAATAGCAGAAGCCATCATCAAGAACAACCACGACCTGGTTTTGAAGTATAAGGCAGTAATCAATGATGGGTTCAAACAAGACTTGACCCGAGCCCTTGCTCTTGAGAAGGTAACAACATCTCCTGTTTTTGTTATGGTTTACAAGCTAATTGTACATCTTGTTTGAAGCAGTGTCCATCCTGTCTTGCCTATTATCTGTATCTAAATCTATTAAGTATTAGTATATTAAAAGAGAACCCATGCATGCATTGCAGGTATACTAGATGCTAATAACAATTAGAAAGAAAGGGCCGTACTCTGGAAAGACAGTCTATCGCTCCTTCCTAGTACCCATAGCCCCATCCACCCTCCAGTTCTCTCACCGGAAAAAAAAAATGACCTCGTGAAATGCCAGATAAGAACCCATCCAACAGCCCTTGAAGAAAAAAGATAGCTGAGATTGAAATAGGGGGAAAGGGAGAAACCAATTCAGGTGGTTGCACCTTTTTAAAGTTGATCCTAAATCATGCGTGAAGATTCTGATATTTGTCTAACATCAAGATCGATGGTTGATTATTAGTCTCTGGTGTGGCTATTCCCTATGGTGTTCATACCCTCAAATGTAGTAATTCACCTTACATTGCCAATATCGTTGGTGACGTTGGTGGTTGCTCCTGTAGTGGTTGCTCCTGTATTACAAGTCCATACAATATCTTGTCGCAATGTTGTGTTGCTTGCTTGTCTTATGAAATCTTCTAGCTGCAGAGAACTGTTGACGAGATAAAATGGATGTGAGTATCCAAGTTACTCTCCAACTTAAGTGATCCACTTAATCTTGTTAGTTCACCTCTTTTGGAAGCGTTGAGGTTGTTATCGTCAGAGTTAATCTGACCAGCTACTGCCTGCCATGTCAAAAATTAGAAACTAATGAATACTTGTACAAACTCCTGCAATCACCCTCTAGTCGCATAACCTGCAAGGCTACAACTTAATGTATTGACACTTAGAAACTATTGAATACTTGTACAAAATCTTGCAATCACCATGTAGTCGCTTTACCTGCAACTTAATATATTGATGTGCGCGCTTTATTGTCATTTCCAGGAGAGGGCACACGAGTATTACGATGGGATGTCCAAGGATCACTTTAAGAAACTGCAAGAGTTCATTGCTGGTCGGAGTTCAAGCAAACCTTCCTCAAAATTATAGATTTCTCATGTTATTCTGCTTTTGAAATAAACTAGTCTAGGCGCACGTTTTATTGAGAAATTTCAAATAAAAAGGTAAATATTACTTTGTTTGTCTCATTTTGCATGGCAATGTATTGATCAACTCTAAGAAAGATGTTATTCTAATTTCAGTAGAGCGACGATCTTGTCTTGTTAACAAGGGACAACCATGGTCAACCATTTTACACTCCGTCTTCTTTGTGGCATGACATTTGTTAAGGTTTTGTATTACGCCCTATAATTTCTTCGACGATTTACAGATTTTGATGATCTCTGATCATGTCCAACTTTAATCCTAAATAGGATATGCGGTCGTTGCAAATATAATCCAGTCTAAAATTTCGGAGTCGAATCCCACATAGGACTAAGGCTTAGCTATAATTGTTCACAATTGCGATTCTTATTTTAAACTAATTAACTAGCAACTATTAAAAGCAGTAAAAATTATTAATTAAGGAGACTAAGAGTTGGAGACAAGATTAAGGAAGCCTAGAGTATGGTTTTTTCAATTATCGGAATCCTTTCCTCTGCGTCTCCTATAATTTAGCCTAAGTATTCTTTACTGGTCGTGAGCATTTTAGGTGTCGCAATTCTCTCTCGAGCAACTAAAATAATTAACTAGACATATTTTTTCGAACTACGCTAGTTGGCACTATCTTACCGCTCACTATGATCACGTCAAGACTTTGTTATTCCTAAACCCACTTTTAAACCAGTCTTATTGATTCATCGCATACGTTAGAAGTGACGGTACAACTACCTAAATATGTACCATTTTTCAAGTAATACATAATAAATAGGCACAGTCAATTGATGGTCATTCAATCAAATGAAATAATCATATAGTTAACCAAGTAAGAAATCCAAAGGCTAAATTATATAAAAATGTAACAAAAATTTATCCTACAAAAAGTACCATCAAAACCCCAGATAAGAAATTAGTTATTCATAATAGTATGTAAAATTATAATACTAAAATGGCAGAATAGCCTAGGAGACATTTGTACTTGTTCCGGTTTGTCATCCCGGTCCCTACACTCCATAAAGTTTCATCCAGGCACTTCAACTTAATCAAAACAAGACTTTTAAATACCTCCGGAATCGTGTGATGCTCACTTGCTTGACGTGGATGACAAATCAGCATCCACATCAGATTCTACGCCAAAATAATATTATTTAACAAAATTTTAATTTCATAACAAAAATAAAATAAAAAAGAAAAATTAAAATAAAATTAAAGAAACCCTACCTCCTCTTCAACCCACTCAACCTCTTAAACAATAACCACCTACCACTAGGCTCCTCCA